CCACTCGTCACCAACCTCCATCTGGATTTTGAGCCGTTGACCACTACCCTCTGGATGCGACCATCTAACCAATTCCTCACCCACTGTACAGTCCACCCATCAAATCCATACCTCTCCAGTTTAGAGAGAAGGTTGTTGTGGGGGACCGTGTCAAAGGCCTTACAGAGGTCCAGGTAGATGACATCTGTAGCCCTTCCCATGTCCACTGATGTAGTCACTCCATCATAGAAGGCCACTAGGTTGGTCAGGCAGGACTTGCCCTTGGTGAAGCCATGCTGGCTGTCTCGAATCACCTCCCTGTCCTTTGTGTGCCTTAGCATAGCTTCCCGGAGGATCTGTTCCATGATCTTCCCAGGCACAGAGGTGAGACTGACTGGCCTGTAGTTCCCCGGGTCTTCCTTTTTTCCCTTTTTAAAAATGGGGGTTATGTTTCCCCTTTTCCAGTCAGTGGGACCTTCACCGGACTGCTACGACTTCTCAAATACGATGGACAGTGGCTTAGCAACTTCATCCGCCAGTTCCTTCAGGACCCGCGGATGGATGTCATCAGGTCCCATGGACTTGTGCACCTTCAGGTTCTTTAGATGGTCTCCAAATAATTGATATAACACATACTTGATTCCACTGTCCATGACTTATCCATGCAGAAGCACCAGGATGCCTGTGCCAAGAAACTGACCGAAACGCTAGTTAAAGACTTTGGAGCTCTCTCCAGACAAAGGTCTAACCAGGTCAGGCCTCGAGTTTTCAGCCTAAATCTGGTTTATATATTATCCTAAGAGAAAACAAAAAATTGGTGATAAATATTTGCCTGCATTTCTAGGCACCAGTGCCCTTTTCTGGGGTAGTTCTTCCCCACATTCAGTAAGTTGAATCACACCAGGGTCAGATAAGCAAGGTATAGGATATCTTACTGGGAGTCTTGCCCAATCTGCCTCATTAGTCACTATCAGATTTATTGTGTCATGTCTCAGTCTAATTTGACTTCCTTCTCATGCTCTCCTTCTGCTGTGCCTCTGTATCATGTGTTTGTTCTGTTGTGTCCCAGACTACCCCTTGCTCTGACACCTTATTTTTGCCAGACAGAAATGATGAAGTAGCCATACTTGTTACACGGTGGGAAGTCACCACATTGCTCAGCCGTGGCCAGGATATGTGCCCCTTTGAAGAGCCTGTGACCTCCAGAGAGCCACACCAGAAGATATTCTCCCTGTCCACAGTACCATGCAATAGCCCCTTTTTGCTCACATGACTCATCTTATCCCTTAGTCTCACAGAGGGGGTGTCAAGAAAGGTGAAGGGTCTTGCTGGGGAACTTCTATTCATTAGAGAGCAGCATAAATGGAGGCAGGGATCCTGCGCAATTGCAAGAATAACTTTTTGACTAGTTGACTCACAGAGAGTGTAGAAGTTGTACTTCCACTTGAAAGCAGTGGTGAATTAGAATCCAATTAAGAATCTGTAATGATGCATTTTTAATTGTTTGTGTTGCTAGCGTTTTTTGTAGAACTAAACAGGATGAGGTACACCAAGCCTACTAATCAAATATAGATAAGTGGATTTGTTTATATGTGTTTCCCAGAACTTGGAAGTGAGCCATGCAGAAGAGATAGCATGAAAGTTATCTTGTACTGCATATAGGAAAATATGACACTTCTTGTTCTTTTACCATTACTTCTTGCAATGGAAAAACAGTGGACTAGCAAATTAAATATTCCTGTGCCTCATTCACATGGTCTTGTCCCATACAAACTGTCCCACTGACTCAGGTGAAGGTGGTTTCAAAGAGCAAGTTTATTGTTTTAGAAATTCTGAAAATTTTGAAAATGAGAATTCTTGCAAACCCAACTGCAAACCAAGTGCCAAATAACTAAGGAGCTGCTTGGAACATGCCTCTTGGGTCTTCTAGTGCAATCTGCATTAGCTTGGGTTCACTAAGGTCAGTGGCAGAGTAGACTGAAATTTTCCACTAACATTTTTTCCATTAAAAATGAATTTTTATTTGAAGTGAATATTTCAGTTGCATCTCAAAATCCTTAATTTAGGTTAAAGATGCAACATTCCTTGACAAACTAGAAATAGAGAGTGTATTTTAGATTTCAAGCCAAATTTTTGTTGGTTTTCAGGCAGATAAAAGGTTTTGATTTTTTTTTTTCAGAAGTTACATTTTTAGCAAGGACTTTTGGAGGAGGCAGAATATTTCAAGATTTTTTTTGTGAAAATGATGTACTTTAAAGATATTCTTGTCAACCAGATTTCACCAGCTGAAAGTAGCTCCATTTAGCAGTGAGTCATTAGGAAAACCTGAAAGATAAGACAATTAAAAGGAACATACACTGCTTCACTTAAACTTTTTCCAGGCCTTTACTTTGGAGGGGGTGTGTGTTTCCAATGCAAATAATTTGTCAACAAATGAAACAGCTCATATGAATTGGCAATACCTCCCGCCAGAACATCATGTTACAGGTTACACCATTTACTAATATAATGCTGTTATTAATATAGTTATTTCCTTTTAATTTCAGTGCTTGGGACAATGCAGCACAATAAATCATGCAGTCAGATGGAGTCAGCTTGGTTTTGACTTTACCATGCTTGCAATGTGTTGCATGTGTTGTAAGGCACTCCTTCTTAGCAATAGGTTTTACTTCTCTGAACTAACATTTTATGTTTTGGAAAGAAGTCAAAATAATGGTAAAATAGCTCTATATAGTTCTATAACAGTTTTGATACAAGTTCTATAA